GTATGATTGTCATTTAAACCCTATATTTATTCATACATGTTGCATGCTTGTTAATAAAAGTTCTATATAATACCGGGGGACCAGACAGTACAAATCTGATTCAGATCATGTGTGAACATAGAATCACATTTTTGCTTAATTACCAAGAACATAACAATGATGTTAGTCCCATCCTTTATGCTGAGCTATGGAAGGATTTGATGACTGACAGGAAAAAGTTACCCCTTCAAACAATGCTAACAAATTTCTTAAAAGCAGAACTGCGAAGTGAATTCATACCACTTCAGTGCTTTATGTCATGAGGTTCCGTCCTAGGGTCATGGGTAACCTAGAACTGGATATCCCATTTAATGAAGTCACAGCCACCTGAACAGCTGACAATGGCACCTAGTCAGACCCAGGGAACAATACCACCTCCAAGGCTGGAGAGCGCACAGAAGTGCCCAATACCAGGAAGGCCAAAACTTCTTCCTGATGTCATCAATGCCTTACAAGTACTGGGAGAGGAAAGGGGAGAGAGGAAGAGCATTTGGATCTGAATAATTCTCAAAGATGGATCTGAACCCAAAGAGAAACTATAGGTCTCAAATGTCAGATCATTTTCTGGAATAAAACCTGCAGATGCAAGACAAAATAAAAATAGATACTGCATTTACACTTTACAAGAGTATGAATTTTTCTTCTGTCTCACAGTAATTACAAAAGATCATTTTGCTGAAATCTTGATTCATCTCACCTTCACCTATCTTTCCCACTGAAAAAGTTCACTTTCTTTAAACTCTCAAATTGAGAGGGAAGTGTAAAGTGTATCAGACCAACCTGAGTAGTGCTGTGCAACTACTGGCTTTCCTTTCTTTTTCTTTTTTCTTCTTTTCACCTGAGCTTTCACAACTATCGTTCTTATAGCTTGGACAGAGGTCTTCCCTAGAGCACAGGACTTCCCTAACATAAAAGACCTCTAATACATAAATAACTTTTCCTCTTCTCCACATTGCCATTGCCAACTACTTGAACTCTCACAGTCTAATTGATTTTGTTTATTGATAGCAGTTTTGGAGGTCTCATATTCTGTATTCTAAAATTTCTTTCATTGACTCATTTCCTGCACAAATTCACAATCCGGATGTTGAAATCAACACAACCACTTTACTCCAAACCCATGTTCACTATCTACAGCACATGATAGAAAGAAACAACCTCTGCATTCCCCAGAGACCTTGCAAAATAAATACAGTGCACTAATGAATCTCTGTAGCTAATGATTTCCTCAGTGGTTTTGTACACATAGTCCAAAGTTAAGTTCATAGATTAATTAGGGAAGCATGATCTTTCTTTACTGATAGCTGAAAGAAGATGCATCATTTTCTCCCTTATCACGGAGAGATCAATCAAGAGATCAGGCTAAAAAGGTTCAGCAACCTTACCCTTAAAATGCAGGCATAGCACGTTAGAATTACATTCTCCAGTAATTTAAGACCAGATGTATTTCAGTAGGGCTTTCAGACTTTTGAATTGTTACACTAGCTGTGTGTACATGCTATAGTGTCTCATGACAAATAGTTCCTGGTAAAAAATGGATTCAGATGTTTCATTTGATGAGAAAGCATTTGGCTATCTTTCAGTTTCATCTAGCTTGATCTGGGTTCCAGTAAAGATATTACTGAACAAAAGCTTTCCTTAAAAGCCTTGCACAATTGTTTAGATGAAAAATTCAGTTCTTTCCACTTCAGAGATATATTTCCTATCTAATGCTCAACATGATAAAGGAATTATACAAAGACAAGGACCAAGAAACATAGACTTGCCCGCTTGCATATAATTCAAGGATTAGGAAGTACACATTAGATTATCTAAACTTCAGTGTATAAAAATAGAAAAAAAAAAAAGAACAAATTTATTTGGTGTTACAGCTGTTCATTAAAGAATTTAAATGTATTTTACACAGCTTCTGGATATACAGCTCATTAGAAGCAATCAGAGATTGCAGGACAGCTGCTGCAATATGGATACAGTGGTAGACAACTCCACGCCACAAAATATTCTGAAAATTCCTTCTGAAAACTCTGGAAGACGCTGGAGTGTTAGGTAAGAAAATATGCATGCTACCTTCCATATGTCTGTTCCAAGTACCCACTCAAATTTCTCGAAATTTCAGTAAATGTTACCTTTCTAAGATAAGATAGAATATCACTTCCCTCTCAGAACAGCCAAGCTTCAGTTACTTGAAGCAAGAATTTTCTATTGCAGCCCAACAGCCTGTTTTTTTGTCCTGTTTATAGACCAGACACTCGTTAACTTCTCAAATCTCTGGAGAATTGTGGTTTTAAGGGAATCCAGGAGGAAAAGACAAATTTGGAAACCCATTTATCCAGCTCACTAGAATTGAGACATTATGGTTTTCATTCTTCCCCCACTCCCCAAAATACCAAATTTCCATCATCAGAGCTCTCTGAATAAACGAACATTTTGTTACTGGACTCAGGAAGAAAGAAACCACATGCCTGTTAGGGACACAGAGAGGAGGAGCGGAATATGTGCTTGGGAGCGTGTTTATTTGACTGGATTGCAGACGGTCAACCGAGGAACATGCAGATCATATATTTTTAAGCATTTCATAATGTCTTATTATTAATTCCAGCCAAAACCACCAAGACCAAAATTATCTGAAATTGGTGCTTGTGTGTCCTGACCCCAAACCCAACAATGGCTGCACAAAAAATATCTCTTTTCCTCTCAGGTTTATTTATTTTTTTTAATTAATTAGAAGGCAGTGCCCTTTAGAGTCTACGGAGAAGACAGGTCTCCATAGCTAACAAATTGAACTGTGGTACTGGGTAAATTTTACTTCCAGGAAACCAAAATGTTGAAGTCCTTGAGAGAGAGAGGCTACAGGCAGAGAGCTCTTCTAAAGGAAGGAGCTTTTATTGAACCTGTCACTTGTCATTAAACACTCCATATTTTACCTTAGCCTGATATTTTCATTAGAGCCTAAAGACCTTTTTCATCTGTGAATGAAAGCATTCCCTTCAGCCTTGTGCTGTATATGGGGAAAGACTCTAAAAATGAGCCCACCCAAATAGGACAATTATGTTCACAAAAGCAGGAAAGACACTAGGGAAAATCAAGTAATATTAACATTGTGATAACTTCTACATTTCAACACTGAGTATTAAGTGCCACTTCAATCTCAAATTCTTAGATATTTGTTAATGTCTATTTTTATCTCATAAATACTTGTGTAAAATTATATCGAAAGTAACACTCCAACTGAAGAAATCAGTAACAAATGAGCAATTTTAGCATGCTAATAGGATCTGAGAGAGAACAAATTTCAGGCTTCTTCCACGACATTCTGTTTGCATAAAAGAAAGGAAAACTGAAAAGGGAAAGCATAATGGAACGGGAAAAAAATCAAGTAAAGAAAACTGTACCTTTTAAAACCTGAAAGTACTACACCAAAAAAGATGATCTTGTGCAATGGTATCATTTGATAAATATAGTATGTACAAAATTGCATTTCAGATGTCAAACACTACTTATCTTTTCCGACTTAAAATATATATTTATACAAAAACAGATTAGAAATCTAATCAATTACTACATTATTTTCAGAAAATTGTCAAGACACTTCACTAATACAAGGAATATCATGTTATTTGAACTTAAGCTGCCACATAACTAGAGCCTTGTGGATTGTTGTAGCATTACAGCCACAAAACCCATGAGCAGCTGTAGAATTCCCACATCCCAGTCTTTTATAAAAATCTGGAGTTATGAAATCATTTTGTACACTTAGAACTTAACCATTTCAGTGCACTGTACATACAGGACTGAACTTGGAGGGGGGGGACGACCACAAAATAGTGCATCTGAGAGCATTCCACATGGACACGTGTTTCTGTGGTTCTTCCGAAAGTTCTTAGAGTTGATACCGCTCCACTGGAATTCCCCAGAGCAGAGTAAAGAGGTATGTGATTAAATTAAGGAGGAGATTTGTCTTTTCTAGTGAACTATTAGGATTTACCCTATGTCTTTATTGTAGTTGCAGTATCAAATGTAGCTAGTAACAGGAACCAGGATTTAACCTAGCATAGTAAAAGAAAATAGCTCCTGAAAGGTTTGCTCTGTTAAGATTTCAAATATAATTTTAAAAGACTTCTATGTTCATTTTCACTAGCCAAAAAGAAAGTTACATTTGTAAATTACAGACATCACAGGCAAAACATCCATTGTCTTCTCACTTAGCATCATGATATCTTTGCTTTATGCCATGATCATAGTTTAATATAACTATGACAGCACCTGATAACTTACCGCTTGATAAAACATCTACATGTCTCAGAATGAGAAATATTTCACTTAGTTTCAACTGATGATTTTCATTTGCCTATATAGATTGGAGGGCATCAGTTAACTCTGTGGGGCAGCAGCAGATTATGATTTTAAAAATAAAGCAAAATACGTAACTGACTAGTGAGAAAACCTAGAACTCATGAGGTAGAGTAGGATTTCACTGTCAAACAATGTTGAGTAAACACAGAAAATATATGATCCTCCAGTTACCTCAAAATAATTTCAATTTACTATAAGAATACTCACTGATATAGGCTTGATAATCTTTCATTTACTGAAGAAAACATAGTGATATAAGGTGAAATCAGCTGGGAAAATACACAAAACAGCTAAACAAAAAGGCTGTTAGAACAGCAATGAAGAAAGAAATGCTATACCAGTCTCAAAGCCCGTATGATAAAATTATCTCAGTGATTCCTTTCATAACTGACTTGACAGTTAAACCTTTTTTTTTTTCTTATTTCAAAAACGGAGTAAACTACAAAGGAAACTGAGAGGCTGCTATCTTTGAAATGTTCATCTTTAAAACAAACAATAACAAATTTCTTATTTAACAGCTATAAAAATAAATCAGGAGGTTCCGCAGAGAGTGAGGTAGCTAAGACTGGCTGATTGGCCGTATCCCTTTAACTCACTTCTCATGTTACCTGAAGCTGTTGGGAGCTGTCATTGAGATTATCCTCTCTTCTCCTGGCCTCCTCCAGCATCTGTGCACTCTTCTTCTTCTCCACTTGCTCTTTATGCTTCAGATTTGCTACTTTCTTATTTTGATCTTTTACTTGCCTGTAAAAGAAAAGAACACTCAGAACGCAGTTTAGAGGATACCTCCAATCAATCCCACTGCAATCTGGACTCAAAAAGAGTGGAAACCCCCAAGACGATCACTTTTCTGGCAGCTGTCCACAAACAGGCCAAATGTAAATGTTATCCTCAACCATCAACCTAAAGAACACTTCATTTGGCTTATCACTATCAACCGAAACAAGGAAATTTCTGAAACAAAACCCTTAAAAATGATTATTTAGTATAAACTGATAATCAAAGGACACACCTGCCCTCTTGTGACTAGGTAGGATGTGCTACACAGAAATCTTTTCTCTAATCATACACGCACACACATATAACCAAAATATATATCTAATAGTTTATTTTGCTTTGAGTATTACTGTATGTAATGTAAGAAATATAGGAGGATTAAAAAAAAAATAATCAAACACACCTTGAAAGTAGAGGACTACCTAAAAAAATCTAGGCACTCCATTTTCAGAAGTAAAACTATTTCTTTGTGACCTCAGATTCCACTTATTTACTAGATATTTTGAGGGGTTTTCTACCCTTTATTTCTACAGAAACAAGCAAGATGGAACAAGCAAGAACAAACTATTTCAGAAAGCGTGCATAATTTCCTTTTCACTCGCATCTATGAATTATTTTTGATGATCCTGGCAACTAGCATTGCCTGCAGACAGGGTTTGGCCTTCCAGGGCATTAAGACACATGGAGCATTGAATCTAATTACAGGCCCTTTAATCTTAGCCTCCTGACCACAGAGAACTTAAGTCTAAACTTTTAGTCCAATCAAAACAAAACCGGCTAGCCTTGCTTCCTCAGCCCTTTTCTCCATAATTATATCTGGAGTTTGGACTTTGGAATAAAAGACAGATTCTTTGGTTGCAAGATTTCCCCAAAACATCATGCAAGTAGTAGGGACAGCTCTTTAATTTACTGTTTAGAAAGCAGAATGATATACCAGCTTCCTATCTGGTATGTTATCCACGTAAAGATGGAAGAATGTTTCTCCTGTACTCCAGAAACACTTTTAGAACAAATCACAAACAACTCTGATGATTGCTTTAATATTTGCTTCAGAACTCATAAAAAAAAATATTATCAAGAACATATCTCATTGCAATATATATGTTCAAATTATGTGGCATATGGCTAGTCAGTGCTTTGAGTTCTTTCAAGAAATGCAAATTCAACACCGAGCTCTGTTTTTTGCAATATAAGCCAACTGGAGCTCGGAAAACGGCAAAGATAAAAAAATTTCCTTGGTGCTACATAAACTCCTATTACTGAGAAAAAGTGCTGATGACCTCCAGAAACTCTTTTCTATATTTCTACCAAAATAAAAAGGGAAAGTCCTTTTCTGATCATGTCAAAAAATTATTGGCATATTTAACTACCTTTTCCAAAAATTACAGCTGATTTGACTCAGGATGCTTTTTAGACACAACTAATATAATTGTGAAGTTGCTCGAACCTAGTGCTGCATATTGGTAATGGGTGCATTGCTCAGTTTGAAAGCAGACTTGCTCAGTGATTAAACAACTTATTGGAAATATGTTGGCGCTAACTCAGCTTGTACAATACACGGTTCTATCTGTATTAAAAAATAAACATAGAAAGCTAAGTACAGCTAAGTTAATGCAGAAAATGAAAATACGTAAGCCCAACACGTTCAGTTCCCCATGAGCATTCTTATTCTAATTCTAAATGAAAATTAGAGGAATGAATTAATTTTCATAAACTTGCAAACGTAGATCTACCATCTGGCACACTGTCCTGTGTTACTATAATTCATTGGTTAGATTAGAGACAACAATATTAATAAAGGCACAACCCTGATCAAAATATGAAGTAGATCATCTTTTGTGTCATCTGAAATATCTTCAAATAAAACGTGTACTTTGGAGAAAGGAGTGAATATAAGCGTTTGTGCTATGACGCCTACCTCCTATGGTCTGAACCAAGATGAATGTCTTTTAATATATTTGACAGAGAGATAGGCATGTGCGTGCATGTGCATACACACAGTACATACGTATTTGTTTTAATGCAAACAGATCTTAAAAGCTTGATTAACAGGAATCACCCAAATCACTCAGTACGACAGATCTGTTGATATCTGTGATCGTTTAGATAATCTAATGATGAGTGTCATAGAATGATTTCATCTTCATCACTGAACAACATGCAGAATGGGAGCACATACTGAATTGGGAAAATAATATAAAATACAGAATGTATGCTTCTTAACTGAGCACATTATAACTGGTACATTTTACAAGGAGACAGTCAAGAGGAAAATAAATATACGTTATAATATATGTGCACAAGGAAGCTAATTAAGACTGCAGAAAGAAACAAAACTCCGGAATTTCCTCAGTTTGAGAGCTTGATCTTGTAACCTTAAGAATGTTGCTTTAGTGCGTTTGAATGCAACTATGCATATATAGCTCATAACCTTGTCAAAGGGACAGTCAGGTTTTAAAAAAAACCCTTCTCCTGTAAGAGTAGTTTTACCAGAACTGAAATAATTGCACAAGATTAAGGATAGCAAAAAAGAAGGAATTTATTACACTGATGGTAACTGCTTAGAGGTTTATGAATGTTTTCTAATAATCATTATTGGCAGTAGACACTAGTAAAAACTAATTTGCAATGTGCAGGTAGAATGATTGTCATAAAATAAGGACCATATGCATTTCTTTGAGAGAAATAGAGCAATAATAATAATTATTATTATCAGATACTCCTACGAAAACATTTTTATATTGGACTACAAAGAGAAAAAAATGCTGGTGATCCTCATATAAATCGGAAAGTCAGTTCCTTTTGAACAAGGTAAATATTTAAAGTAAGAAGACACAGGAACCAACAGAAACAATAACAAAACCAACAATAGCAAAACTGATTTGTCACAGAGGAGGTTAGTTCTCAGAGCCACCCTCAAATCAAATCATAAACAATTTTCTAGTCAAATATAAAAAAAGCAAAATCTAAAGAGAATATTTACTGTCTCGTATTTCAGGGAAAAATATAAGCCATTTTGGAAAAAAATTTTTTTAATTTTTTCAATAGTGAAATGGCTTCTATTGCTAGACCAAATTTTCAGATCATAACATTTTTGAGATACAACTCCTAAAAAAAATTAGGCCTTCAAGAGCGAAAAATCTTTTTCAGCATATATAATTTATCTCCATGTAGCAATATGTCATGTCATGTACTCGTAGAATGGAATGTATTAGAGAAAATTAAGTAGAATCAAAATCAGGCTTCTAATTAAAAAAGAAACAAGATACTGAAGATGACTATTAACTTTTATGACTTTAGCCTTTTTTTTCCCAATGAAAGATACAGTTACATTGCTTAACGAAACCTTTCCACTTCTCTATCAAATTCCTGAATTTCCAGGGATGAGGTATAGATGAACATGATGAGGACCGAATTAAGATAATCACAGCAAGCAAGAACTTTCAAATGACAAGGTTTCCTATTTTTAAATAATTCTAATAAGGGAAGAAGACTACAAACAATAGAAACCAATGGACCATCAAGTGTTCTTCAGAAAAATAGAAAGGGGATTGATCTAATTCACTTTATTACCTACAAGCCCTTTGGAAGATTTTTCCTCCCTATTAAGATTAATTGCTTTATAGCCCCTATTACTTATTAAGGCTTTAAAGGAATTAATTTATTCAGTACTAAACAGAATATTTTTTGCATTTTAATACTAATCTCATTATATTTTACTGCAATGCATATCACCATACATAGCTGTTAATTCTTTCCTTATGCGAATTTTCATGTTAAAGTGACATAAGCTATTATCCTCCTCTAGCTATCTTTTCTGAGGTAATTTAAATTAGAATGCTCCTGTAAAATAAAAGGTGATAAAATGTCAACTGAAAATGCGCAGAAGTTAATTTGAATTTTGCAATTATATTTTTAATATTGCTTTTCGTTCAGTTACATGCCTAAACCACAACAACATTTCTATAATAACCCAAGAAGTATACATCTAGAACGTGTTGCAAAATACAACAGTCCAACCACCATGAGAAGCTTACCTTCAAGACAAAATGTATACACGCATATTATATTTCACTAAGGAATACATGCACCAGAAAAATATACACAGATCTTGTGCACTGCAGTAGAAAGAGCTTGTTTTATTCATCTGCCTTAGGTACTTGGAAAATATTCCTATGTTAAAAGTAGACATACTGTCAGTCAGCACGTCAGAAAGATGGTGCACAGCTAGAGCCTTTATTGACGCAGCATTACCACCACCCACAGGACACTCCGCTGTTGCTGCAGCTGCTAATCCTGATGGACAGATGAACTTAATTTGTTTTAAAGTATTTGCTTTAAAAATTAGAAACAAAAAAAATTTTGCTCCTCAACATAAATTAAATTGATGCAATACATACAAAGTTAATGCAACATTATTGCAAAAGCTGCAAAGAAAACTGTATGCAATAAAGTAGTGAATTATTACCTTAGTTTAAAATTGCAAATCCACATTGTATTATGCAATATTAGATTTTATAATACATAATATCATCCAGTAAAACCGCAAAGCACTTTGTAGTCCTGAGAGATACAGAGAAATACATTTATTCTCCTGCGGAATGAAATGGGACAGCCATCTGAAAGAGTATAACACTAAGAACAGTTCAGGCCATAGAGCAAAGCACGTTATAATCAGAAAAAATTCCAGAAGGAAATGCTGGGAGGCAGAAAACAACGAACTAAGTTGCCCAGAGTTTTACTAGTAGCCTTGTTCATAGATTATTAGACGGGTGGAAAAAAAAAAAAAAAGCTGTATTACCTTACTCCTGCAAAAAAATCAACATCAGCACAATAGGATGCTAGCACTCTGAGCTGAAGTAATTTAAAACCATGTTGGAGGAAAGTGTTGAACTTACTGAATCACCATCACCATTTCCTTCACCACCTGCTTGGGTTTTTTTTTAGGTCTTCCCCACCAAATATTT